GGCTCACACTGAGCATGGAGCCTGTGCGCAGGTGGGTGTGCACGGGGTGAGCAGAAAAAGGCAGGGGCGAAGAGAGGCCCAAGTTCCCCGGCGCTTGTAGAGCACACTCAGCAGACAATGCAGCAGCGAGCCGGGGCAGCCCAGTCCTACATTGGCGCAGCGGCGCGGCCGCTCCGCGCATGCTTAGAGGCGACCGAACAGGGTCCCGCAGCGGCGCCGCGGGACCGGCGGCGGCAACCCTGGGGTGCAGGTCGCGTGCGGCGGCGCCTCACCCTTCCACTCCTTCCCGTTGAACCACTGGACGGCGGAGCTGGCGCTGAACGGGTCCTCATAGGTGATGGTCTACGGCGGGGGGCCGCGGGGTGCCATGCCAGCATGGTGGTGGTGGGGAGGGATCGAGGGGATGAGGGCAGATGCGGGCATGCGATGGCAAGAGAGCTGCGGCGACGCAGAGCAGCGGCAGCAACCGCGGCCGCGGCCGGCTGCCGCGATGGCTATGCTGGCGCGCGATCCGCCGGGGTCGTCGTAGAGATCCGTGCGGGGCGGGCCCATGAACCACGCAGCGCTGCCTAGTGCTCGCCAGGCCTGCGAGCCGAGCGCAGCGCGGCGCCCTGCGCCGCGTGCCCTTGCAGCGCACCGCGTCGCCCTTGAGCGCGCCCGTGGCCTTGTCCCTGTACATGTAGATCTTCTTGCCCTTGGTCTTCTTGTCGGTCTTGATCACGCCGATGGAGCCGAAGTACTCCTCTAGGTCGCGCTCGCCGGCGCCGCTGGGCAGGCCCGACACATAGATCTGGTCCGTGTCGGGCAGGTCGAAGCTCAGGGTCTCCGGGTTGTACGCCATGCTGGGCGCTGGGGCGCGGGGAGGCGGCGCGGCGGCGGGGAGGTTGGAGGGCGTGGCACGACGCGGTGCGATGCTGGACGCCCGGGGGGCCGTCGAGCTCGGCTGTGCGCGTCAGCACGGCAGAGCGCAGAGCCCTGTACACGCGGCGGTAGACCGCTTGGCGTAGAAGGAGCGAGAGCCCACCTTGATGTAAAGCACCGCACTTTGCTGTGTCAGGTTGCAGCAGGGCGCGCCTTCACTGGGCGGCTGATCTGCCTTGCAGCACCAGGGTGCAGCAGAGCCTTACAAGCGTGTTTCTGCTCCAGAAACCGTGTGGAGAAGCTGTGCGGCGGACCGCGGATCGCTCGACCAGATCAGGATGTGAGGAGCGGGTGTGTGCACGCGCAAGCTGGAGGGCATGACAACCCAGCTTGGGCCTTCAACTGCACGTGCAGTGTGTCAGGCAGGGTCCATGCAGCCCCCTTGTGCAGGCGGCGGTTGAGCGGCCGGCGTCCTCTGTGCTATGAGCGCCCTGCTCGCACTGGGGAAAGCACTGGGTGTCTGTGCAGAACACAGGGGATGCCGCTTATGACTACCTCAGTGTGCTTGGCAACCGTTTATGGTTTCTGAATACAATTGCTGGAACACTGTAGGTCAAGCGCAAGTGGGCAGTTGGTGGTTGGCTCCGCGAACTGCACCAGCGGGCTGACTTGGCACTGATCAGTCTCATGAGAGGCTGTTCGCACGTAGGTGGGGTTGAAACCAACTACTGGAGCGCTGTTCTTTCAGTGCGTTTGGTATGTTGCATTTAGGAGCCTTTACACCCGAGTGTCAAGGTGGTGTAAGTGCACAGCATGCAAACCATCAACCCAAGCACCTGGCGACATGCACCCGTCCAGATTGTGCGACAAGCGCAACGCTGCAAACGAATAACCAGCCCGTGCAAGGACAAAAGTTCTCACACAAGTTCAGTGTCGAAGACAGCCAGCTGCCTTCCGTTTTACTTGTGCACGTGGGCCTCAGGGCGCAACCACGAGATGGGTTGCACTCTGATGGGCTTCCGATGGAGTCCAGGGCTCGGCGAGCCCCATGACGGTGCCACAAGGGAGATTTTGGGCTCTGGGGAAGAGGTGCAAAAGCCAGAATGTATGATGTGCAATTGTGGGCAATGCGCCCCCCTCAGGCGGCACGTGTGTGCTTGCAGCTGAAGTACGCAGTGCACGGACTCCTTTGCGGCTGTGCCACACGGTCTGACAGGCGGCCGCCCTGAACATGCTGCATGCAAGAGCTATGCCTCCCAAGCGGCGCATATGGCGACACTGTGTTAACGCAATGATGGCGGCCTTGAACACTGCCTTGCTGAAACGCCACAGCGAGCAGCACTCGGAGCTATAAACAAGTTCAACTCCCAAGGGGGTGGGCCGTTTATCTTCCCGCTTGCGGGAGTGATGGCCCGCTGGATTGTGCGCAAACAGGCAACTGAGTGCTGCGCGGCGCGGCTCCAGGCGCGCGGCACACCGACAGTGATGCGCCGGCTGCGCGCTTGCGGTGGCTGCTGCTGGGAACTCCGAGGTTACGGGGAGCACAGCGGCAGCGCGCGGTGACGCTGAGCTGGAGCTATTGCGGCAGCTGGCTGCAACGGCCTCGACCAACTCTCAAGCCCCCGCGTACGCCGCCTCCTAGGTTGGCAGTGTTGCAGCGGGTGCAGGCGTCTTGCCAGCCGGCGCACATGTTGCCGCAGCATCGATTGGCACGCCCAAGTCGTGTGGGCAGTGGCGCTCGTCGGTGCGTGCGGCCGCCTTTGCCGTGACCGCGGCCATCCTCCCCACAACCACCATCGCAATCCCCGCCGTAGGGTCGCCTGCCCTCATTCTTCTTGGCCAGCCTTACCCGGAGCTTAGAGCCTGTATGTGTCAAGGCGGGGAGGGGCAGGGGCGGGGGGCTCGAGAGGAGGAACAGACTCGCTGCAGGCCCGCCCCAAGGCAGGGTATCACCCTCTCGGCAATGTTGCAGAATACAGATCCAGATCGGCAACTGCATTTCAGGCCATTGCGCAGGCGTGCCGAGGTTGGCCACGCTGGCCCCCTGCCTGCGACTGCCAGCCACACAGTTACTGCATATGTGTTTCAAGTCAGCCAGATGTCTGGCCCGTAAGGCCTTGCAAACCCACAGGCAATACAAAGCGGATGTAAATTGTGTTTGCCGGCAACTGCTTGTGGCCTGTTGGTGGTGCCTCATCTTCCCATTCTGTTTTCTGTGGACCGACAGCCCACACACAGTGGCCAAGGAGGCGTACTGAGTAGTGAGTACTCCCCCGCCGGCTGAGCTGACGCTGAAGGCGTCAAAATAGGTGTCACTGTGCAGCTGGAGCCGTGTCCGGGGTAGTGGAGGGGGGGGATAAATCACAAATCCCGCTGTTGGCGAGGGCTGGGCAAGGGCTGCGCCTCAGCTACCACCTGCTGGCAGGCGAGCTGGCCCAAGATATCTCGCGGCTCGAACTCGCTGCTGCGCGGAACACATGTCACCACACGCACACCTCTCTGCTAAGTGCCAGTCGCGCGTCTGTTCAGCAGGCATCCCTGAAAGATCGTGCTTGAGGAGGTGCAGGGCTCAACGTGGTTAAAGGGTCCCTGGGTCCATTGTTTGACCAAGCCCGGAACAGGTAGTTGTAATTCGCCCCACTCAGCATGCACAGCGTGCAGCACCTGGCAACACGCCCAAACATGCCCCTGGTGATGGATGATGCAGTACTGCAGGTAGACAAACAAGCTTCGCCGATGTACAGTACCTGGGAAGTACGGTACGTGGCATGAACAAGACAGAGCAAGTGTTGGAGCACACAGCACGAGCAGCTCGAGCTGCAACTCTTTCACCGCGTGCAGACGGTTGCGCATCTTATCATTGGCCTAGACTGCGCATGCGGTGCAAGTAGCAACGATGGCTCTTACATAGACAAGGCGCGTACGTCAGGCGGGTTCAAACAACGTGTTAGATCAGATGGCAGCATCCAATGCTGTACTGGCCGGCGTGATAGCCTATGTGTACTGTAGCCATAGCGAACAGCGCGTAGCTCTGGTATCAAGGCTCAGGGCTCTAGGGGCACAGATTGCCCCGCGTCTTGGCAAAGACGTCTCCCATGTCGTGTTTTCCCGCACGGGAAGGCTCTCGGCCGAGCAAAGAGTGCAGGAGGATGCGGAGCTAAGGGCACTCTTCGATCGTGCTCGAAAGGTGAGGTGCCGATGTGCAATGCTGAGCGCATCGTGCGCACGCGTTCGAATCCCCCGCCTGCGCATTCAGGCGCGCATCAACCACCAACACAAACTGCCTCGTCGTGGTTCTTCTGGACGCAGCACGACTGCCCTGCTATCTTCGTGACCCCGCTATGGGTGCAAAGCTCCTTGGACCAGGGGCGGAGGGCGATGGTGAGCTCAGGGCCGCCGCCACCCTTGAGCTTTCGGGATGCGACGACCCTGCAAGTCGCTCCATGTGCTGTTAGCCGTGCAACACAATCTGAATAGCATGGATCCGGCTTCGAGACCGTGCAAGCAAGTGGTCGCACCATCACGGCCTGGCCGTGCCGCCACACCCACGACACCAGGAGCACCGTTTTGTGCTGCCCAAGCCGCTCGAGCCGCTGCTGCCACCTGGCAAGTCACCCGGCACAGGAGGTGAGCAGAGCGTTCCTTTCCAATCTTTGTGAAGCCGAACCACCTCCCATGCAGGCGCGTGCGTACGTGGAGACATCACTGCCAGCAGCCCTACATGCGCTCCGCTCACGCCCGCCTGACGTCCGAGCTGCTGCCGTCCCTTGCGCACCAACCCCTGCCAGGCCTGCCCGCGCGCAGCAAGCGGCGCAACGACGCCGCCACCGCCGCGGCCGGCCGCGCCGCGCGCAAGGTGCAGGAGGTGTCGCGGCTGGACCTGGAGGACTTCGCGTTCAACAGCTCCCAGCAGCTTCAGAGCGGCTGCCACCACGACAGGGCCCGAGGCGTCGACGGCGAGGACGGCGGCGCGCCGAGCGAACCCGAGGCGGGAGGTGACGGCGACCGCGGCTTCGAGTTCCGGCCGCCGAAGCGGCGGCGCGATTCGCAGCTGCTGCAGCGGCTACAGAAGCAGCGGCAGGTAGAGGCAGCGGTGGCGGGCCGCGGGGGCCAGGAGAAAGGGGAGGGCGGAGACGAGGAGATGGAGAACGAGCAGCAGGAGGAGCAACTGGCTCGCCAGCAGCAGCAGCAGCAGCAGCAGCAGCAGCAGCAGCAGCAGCAGCAGCAGCAGCAGCTGCAGCAGCAGCAGCGGCTGCAGCTTGAAGAGGACGGGGACGGCGGTCAGGAAGTGCAGAAGGCAGAGCAGCATGCAGAGCCCCATGAACTGCGGGGCAACACAGACATGGAATCTGGAGAGGCAGCGGCACTGCCCATGCCGGGCGCCGCGACACAGCTGGCGGCGGAGGCGCTTTGGGAGCTGCCGCACAGCCTCGGCAGAGGCGGCGGGGGCCCGGCGGCGGAAGCCGAGGGGTCGGGCGGCCACGCGCTTTCTGACATCAGCAATGCATCCCGGGTGGCAGCTGCGGGGGGCGGCCGCGACCGGCGGCGCGCCGCCCAGTGGGATTGCGACGCGCCAAGGGCGCCGTGGGAATTCTCGTTTGCCAGCCCAGCACCGCAGGCGGCTGTCCCGGGGTCGGCGCCCTGGCTGGTGAGCGGCGGGGCCGGCGGCAAGCGGCGCGCGGTAACACCAGGCGCTGGGCAAGTGAAGGCCGGGGCCGCCGCCACCGCCGCACCGCAGCAGCAGGAGCAGCAGCAGCAGTGGCAGCAGCAGCAGCTGCAGCAGCAGGCGGCAGGGCTCGCTGGGGTGCTCGCAGCGCCCTCAGCGCCGCCTGCCGCGCGTGACGGCGAGGCCGACGTGCCGCCGCCCTCCGAGCGCACCCGGCGCTCGCCGCCGCTGCCGCCAGGGGCCCTCGGAGGCTCGCTGCCCACCCCCAAGCCCATGGCGGCGGCCGCGACCCCAACCACCGAGGCGGCAGCTGGTGCAAGCGCGGGCCGGGCGCGGCGGCCGTCGGGGGTGGTCACGCCGATGGGCGGCGCCGCGCCCGGCGCCGGCGCGGCGAGGGCGTTTTCGGGGGCTCTCCAGCATGACCCCCGGTCGGCAGGGCTGACCGCGGCTGCGGCGCTCAGCTCGCTGCGCAAGTCGGGCAGCAGGCGGTCTGTAGGCGCCAGCGGCCTGTGCCGCGGCGGCGGGGGCGGCGGTGCGACGGGGGCGCGGGGCGGGCGCCGCAGTTCGACCCCAACCAGCGGCCTGCGGCCGGGCTGGGGCGCAGGTGCAGGCGGCGCTGCGCCGGCAGCTGGTAATGAGGAGCGTCCTGGCGCTGCATCGGATCAGAAGAGCTCACACCCGGCGGGCTCGGCGGGGAGGGGCCGCGACAGCGGGGCATTCAGCTTTGGGGTGGGGCCAGGCGGCGGCGGCGGCGGCGGCGATGAACAGGGCGGGGGCACGCCCGCGTTTTCTGGGTCCCAGCATGAGCGAGAGCAGCGGCAGCAGGCGGAGGGGCGGGCAGGGGCGACGCCCGGCGGGCGGGGCGGCCGCGGGCGGGGCGCGACGCCGACGCTGCTTTTTGCCGGCGACGCGCCGGGCGGCGGCGGCGGCGGGGCGCTGCAGGCAGCTGCGGGGGCGGTTGAGGCTGGGGCCCGGGGGCAGCGGCTCGGGGTTGAGCAAGGCGCAGCCCAGCAGGTTTCCACAACCCTCCTGTCCCTGCCACCCCTGCCAGGCGGCTCGCGCTGCTTCCCCGTGCCCGGCCGAGCAGGTGGCGTCCCCAATGCTCCGTCGCCAGCGCCCGCAGCAGCGGCGGCGGCCGGCAATGACGGGCCGGCAAACGGCCCGGCAGCCGCTCGCGCGGCGCCCGGCGCCGCCAGCCCCGCCCCGCGCAGCGGCGGGAAGCGCTGCTGCAGCTCTAGAGCTGGCGCTGAGGCGGAGGCGACGGCGGCTGCTGCGACGCCGCCGACGTTGCGGCGCTCGCCGCGGCTCCTAGCTTCCCCCGGGCCTGGGGCCACCTCAGGTGCCGCGTCGCCGGCGGCCGGGCGACGCCTGACGTTGGGGGTGGCCACGGCATCATTGACAGAGCAGCAGCAGCAGCAGCAGGAGCAGCAGCAGCAGCAGCAGCAGCGGCAGGAGGCGCAGTACAGAGTGGAGGAGTGGCAACGGGAGCGAGAGGACTGGCGTCCTTCGAGCCGGCCCGAGGGCCCATCTGGCCTGCCGCCCGCAGCCGGCCGCACCCCCAGCCGAGCGGAAGCTGACGAGGCAGTGGCAAATGCGGCTGGCGTGGCAATGGAGTGCGACGAGGAGTTGCGTGGAGGTCGGGTCAAGCACAGGGCCCACCAGAGCGATCTGGTCAGCAGCAAGGGAGTGGTGGACGCTGAAGCAGCAGCAGCAGCACCGGGAGCAGCGGCAGCAGCAGGGGTCAGGGACGATGCGGCGGGCCCCTCGGAGTGTGAGCGGTCTCCTGACGGCGCCAAACGCGAGGCGCTGGCGCAGGCACCGCCCCCTCGGACAGGGCGGGCGCGGCGGGGCGCGGGCGGCGGTGGCGACAGCGGTGCTGGCGAGAGGACTGGGCAGGCGCAGGGGAGGGCGGCAGCAAGGGGTGGGGCCGCGCAGCGGCGGGAGCCCGGGCATAAGCAGGGGCGAGACAGAGGCCGCGGTGCCCCTGCAAAGCAGCAGCAGCAGGAGGAGCAGCAGCAGCAGGAGGAGCGGCAGCAGCAGCAGCAGCAGCAGCAGCAGCAGCAGGAGGAGCGGCGGCAGCCATCAAAGCAGTCCAAGCGGGCGGCCTCAGCGGCCCCGCAGCCTGCTCACACACGGAATCCCAAGCAGCCGCGCGCCGCCGGGCCCAGCGGCGGCGTCCCGTCCGCGAGGGGGGCGCCCACGTGCGCCGCAGCAGGCGCCGGCGGTGCGGTCGGCGCGCGGCGCGGGCGCGCGCCGCCGATGCTGATCTGCTGCACGTCTGTGGACCCGTCTGTCCAGGAGCTGGCGCGCGCAACGGCGCGGCGGCTGCCGGGCGGGGCGCGCGTGTGCGCCGAGGTGCGGGGCCCGGGGCGCTTTGGGCTGTCAGTGCTTCCCTACTGCGGGTGCGGCCATGAGCCGGTTTGCATTGCATGTAGCGCTTTGCGCTTCTCAGACATCAGACATGCGTGACGGTGCTCATACAACACACACACACACACACACACACACACACACACACAAACACACACACACACACACACACACACGCATGTGGTATCCCTCTCGGCCAACCTTCTCGACCATGCCCGACCCCCCCCCCCCCGCCCAGGGCTACGAGGACGCCATGACTCACCTGGTGGT